GAGGCATCACCTCACACCTGTCAGAATGGCTACCATCAACAAATGACAAGTGCTGGTGAGGATGTGGTAAAAAGGGAACCCTTGCCAAAACTGGCTCAGTGATAGAGCTTTGGTTTGCGGACTGAAAAGTCCCAGGTTCAATTCCGGTCCAGGGCATGTACATTGGTTGCGGGCACATCCCCAGTAAGGGGTTTGCAAGAGGCAGCTGGTCAATGTTTCTCTCTCATTGGCATTTCTAGTTCTCTATCCCTCTCTCCTCCTGTCTGTAAAAAATCAATCATATATATATATATATATATATATATATATATATATATATATATTTTTTTTTTTTTTTTAAAGGAACCCTCATGCACTGCTGGTGGGAATGCAGACTGGTGCAGCCACTGTGGAGAACAGTATGGAGTTTCCTCAAAAATTAAATATGCAACTGCCATTTGGCCCAGTGATCCCATCCCTGGGAATACATCCCAAGAAATCAGAAACACCAATCAGAAAGGATATCTGCACCCCTATGTTCATAGCACAATTTACAAGAGCTAAGATCTGGAAACAGCCCAAGTGCCCACCAGTAGATGAGCGGATAAAAAAGCTGTGGTACATCTATATCATGGAATACTATGCAGCAGTAAGAAAAAAGAATCTTACCCTTTGAGACAGCATGGAGGAACCTGGAGAGCATCATGCTAAGTGAAAAAAGTCAGTCGGAGAAAGACAAGTTTCACATGATCTCACTCATTTGTGGCATCTACGTAACAAAATGAAGAGAGTGGATCCACAGACTTGGAACGGAATCTCTGAGGGAAGGTGGGGAGGATGTGTGGGTGGGAGGTAATCAACCAAAGAACTTGTGTGCATATAAGCATAACCCATGGACCCAGACAATAGGATGCTGAAGGGCTGGGGGTGAGAGAGAAGTGCTGGCTGGGGGGGAGGGGGGGAAGTGAGGGAAAAGTAATATTACATATTACATATGTAATATTTTCAACAATAAAGATTTAGGAGACAACTAAGTTGGCAGGCATAGGTAAACACTTGTACTCCCTGCCTCCCACAACCACATCAAAATTACAACTAAAATACAGAACAACCATCATCCAGAACCACTGGAAAGCTGGCAAAATGGAAGCGAAGGAGAAAGCACTGAAACTGGTAGGAGGTGCAGAGTTGTGGAACAGGCTGATCGGGCACCCACACCGGCTGCTTTTTTAATTGGGAGGGAGATCTTCTCTGCAGAGGGCCCAGCCCCATACCAGACCCCCCAGCCCAGAGTCCCAGAGCTTACTTACTTACATACCATGGGCTGTAAAAACCAGTGCCGATTGGGGCTCATGAGAACAGAGCTGCTAGAGATCCAGCTGTTCCTCTTAAAAGGCCAGCACCGCGAACTGAACTTACAAGGTCCCACTTCCTCTGAGGTCCAGCACCAGGGCAGGTCTCTTGGGAACACAGACACATACAAGGAGGAACTGTGGACTGTCAGGCATCGGGGCAGGAACTCAGAGGTGACCTGCTCCTAGACGCAGATGCTGGCATGGATCATTGTTCCTGTGCTGGGACCTCCCCAGTGGCAGGGCTGAATGGCAGCCATTTCTGTTTGCTCAACCCAGGTGATTCCCTAAGACCCCACCTCATCCAATTTACAACCCCACCCAAGCTGCATGCAGCAGCTTTTGCTTCTGAATGGCCTTTCTTTGCTCAGGCTAAAACCTCTCAAATGAGCTGTAGCTCAGTCAGGGAGCCCAAAACCTATCAATAAAAGGCCCCAAGACCTGCTACCAGCACCAGCCTGCCTGGCTTCATAGCTGGGCCTCATCTGGGCACTTCCAACCCCAATACAAAGAGGAGGAATCTGCAGATCTCTCTGTAGCTCCTGCTGCATGGCCCCATGTTGAATCACTGTATATTATAGCAGCCTCTGTTCTCACTGAGCCCCAATCGGCACTGGTTTTTCAGCCTGTAAGTAAGTAAGTAAGTAAGCAAGCTCTGGGACTCTGGGCTGGGGTTCTGGTGTGGGGCTGGGCCCCCTTGCTCCTCCGAGTGGCCTCTGCAGAGAAGATCTCCCTCGCGATTAAAAAAGCAGCCCTTGCCGAAGCCAGTTTGGCTCAGTGGTAGAGTATAGGTCTACGGACTGAAAGGTCCCAGGTTCGATTCCGGTCAAGGGCATGTTGGTTGCGGGCACATCCCCGGTAGCGGGTGTGCAAGAGGCAGCTGGTCGATGTTTCTCTCTCATCGACGTTTCTAGCTCTCTATCTCTCTCCCTTCCTCTCTGTAAAAAGTCAATAAAATATATTAAAAAAAAAAAAAAAAAAAAAAAAAAAAGCAGCCCTTGTGGGGGTGCTCTACAGCCCATTCCGTGCCTCTGGAGACCCAAGAGCCAGTGTGCCCAGTGGTCAGTGTCAGATCATATCAGATTACAACTCCAGACAGCCATAAATAACACACTCAAGGGGAAGACTCAGTGAGCACCAAAGCCCCAATCCGTAGGGCTGTTTCCTGCACAGCAGCTCTCCAACTATAGTCACAGCTGGTACTCACAATTGGCCCAATTGGCCTGGAGGTCAATTCCTCCCAGTGACGCCAACAGCAATCAAGTCTCAACTACAAGCCTGTGCTCACAGCCCAAAGAGGCATGCACCCAGAGCTCCCAGCTCAGGTGCCTGGGGAAGCTGAGCCACTGGATCCTACAGAACACTCTACCAACTCAGGGAGAGATAGAAGCTCTGCCCAGTATATAGAAACAAACACAGGGAAGCAGCCAAAATTAGGATACGAATAAACATGTCACAAATGAAAGAAATGGAAGAAAGCAAACTACTGGGTATAGAGCCATAACCGGTTTGGCTCATTGGTAGAGCGTCGGCCTGCAGGCTGAAAGTACTTTCTTCATATTTTTGGATTCTTTTTCCTTTTTGCTCTTCTGGTTGAGCGTTTTTTGCTTCCTCATATTTCAAATTGTTGACTTGATTCTCAAAATCCTCTACTGTTGAACCACTGTATATTATTTTTAAATATATATATATATTTTTTTTATTTTTTTTTTTACAGAGAGGAAGAGAGAGGGATAGAGTTAGAAACATTGATGAGTTGTCTTTTGGCTGTCTGGTCTAATTAGCATATTATGCTTTTATTATTATAGAAGTCACTGGGCTAGACACGTGTGTGTGTGTGTGCGTGTACAAACACACACACACACACACACACACACACACACACACGCCTGTGCTCAGGCATGCACTTAGGGAAACTCATGGAGTCTGGCGCCAATTAGATCTCCTTCCCCTCTTGGCTCCTCTGGGGCTACCCCTGGCCCAGGGGATGTAACCTCACCACAGGGTCCTCCTTCCCGGACTCTCCCCTCTCACAAAGCTCCTCTTCTCCTCTGGAGGCCTGTGACCCTCAGGCTGGGCAGGCCCCACTCAGTGCACAAAAGCTCAGGCCGGGCTGTCTTGATTCCCAGCTCTGATACCACCTGTGACCTTGGCTTCTGTTTCCTCATCTGTAAAATGGGGGAAACAGTTGCTCCTACTTCACAATCATGGGGAAGGGGGAGTAAGTTAACAAATGTAAAATAGCATCTTGATATAGTATTGTCATTATTAACGTCTATTTAGGTGCTTCTCTCCTTCCTAGCATTGTTGATAGCCGTTAGACAGGAAGGACCCGCTGAATCATTTCCATGTCCCATGCTCAGTGTCAGGTATACAAAAGGCCCTCAGGACATGTTTGCTCAGTGAGCTCAGTGGTTCCTCCTCTCACCATTCATTTACTGAGTGCTTCTGCATGCCAGCTAGCACTGGACTAGAAGCTGCAATTGAGTAGTGAAGACAGGGCTCGCTTCCACTGCAAGAAGAGTCATTTCTATGCCAGAAGTTTTTTTTTTGTTTTGTTTTGTTTTTGCCTAACAACCTCTTCACACTCTTTTTAAAGTTTCAGGATCCCTGTCAAAACCTGTTTGGCTCAGTGGATAGAGTGTTGGCCTGTGGACTGAAAGGTCCCGGGTTCGATTTCGGTCAAGGTCATGTACCTTGGTTGTGGGCACATCCCCAGTGGGGTGTGTGCAAGAGACAGCTGATCAATGATTCTCTCTCATCAATGTTTCTAACTCTCTATCCCTCTCTCTTTCTTTCTGTAAAAAATCAATAATAAATTTAAAAAGTTTCAGGATCCCAAAGAGCTTTTCTGTATGTTAATATCTGTAGCTATATGCCTATTAGAAACTAAAACTGCCCTAACTGGTTTGGCTCAGTGGATAGAGCATAGGCCTGCAGACTGAAGGGTCCCAGGTTCGATTCCGGTCAAGAGCATGTTCCGGTCAAGGGCACATCCTCAGTAGGGATCATCTGATCGATGTTTCTAACTCTCTGTCCCTCTCCCTTCTCTCTGTAAAAAAATAAATAAAATGGTTTTTTTTAAAAAGAAACAAAAAAAACTAAATATTTACCAATTCACTTAAAATAACAAACTCATTGCATGTTAACATAAATAACATATTTTTATAAAAATGTTTTTTTCCCAAACAAAAGTGTGAAAACAATATTGTTTTGCATTTTTGCATATGTCTTTAATGGAAGACAGCTGAATTCTCATGCCGCACTCAATCTGTGCTATATGTTGCTTTGGTTGAAATATATTTTTAAAAATCCAACTCAACAGTCTCCTTTTTTGTAAAAATTAAGAATACTAACACTGCGCTCGACCCCGCCCCCTCAGAGTTTGGATCTACTTGGTTAGGCTGCAAACGGCTTCCGGAAGGGGGCGTGGCCTGGCGCCCAAAGGGATACGTGGCTGGGATTGGACAACAAACACGTCTGTCTGCGTTGTTGTCCCCGCCTCCGACCCCGCCCCTGCTCCTTCTCAGTAGTAAACGAACCTACCCTAACGCATGCGTCCTAAGGAAGGCGAGCACTTCCGCCCGCTCACCCCGCATTTCCGCTGGGACAACGAGGGGGGCCAGGGCGGAAGTAGCGTGAGGCGTGTGGGCGGGGCCGGGCGCAGCCATGTCGGCGGCCTTGCTGCGCAGAGGCCTGGAGCTCCTGGGGGCGCCGGAGGGTGAGGAGGGCCTGCCGGAGACTCCCGGCGCGGGCCCGGGGGCTGGGGCTGAGGGCGGGACCGGAGGGTGCGGGATTCTGTCCGGCCTTGTCCCCTGCGCGCTCTCCGACCCGGGGCCGTTCCTCTGTCCCTCCAGCCCCCCAGGCCAAGCCGGGCCAGGCCAAGCCGAGCGGGGCTCCCGGGAAGCAGGCCGAGAAGGCGAAGATGAAGGCGAAGGCGGCCCAGGCCGGGAAACTGCGGAACTCGGCCAAAGGGAAAGTGCCCAAGTCGGCGCTGGGTAAGGTCGGAAAGGGGCCGGGCGTGCTGCCCCCGGGGCCGGGCTGTGCCCTGGAGGGAGGGGACCTGGAGGCCGGAGACCTGGAGGGAGGGGACCTGGAGGGAGGGGACCTGGAGGCCGGGCTTGGCACGCGTGTCAGGCATTCCTAGAGCACCTCCTGTCAGCCATGCGCAGAGCGGGGTCCTGGGAAAACAAGGTCCCAGGGCGGCATGGTCTACAGCCCCGGTGGGCAGAGAGGCATCAGAGAGTTTCAAAGTCAACTGAAGTGTGAGGAAGGCTTTGAAGGTTTGTGATCTGAGAGGGACTTGGAATAAAAGACTAAGTCAGACTTCTGAGGGAGCGACATGTGAGCCCAGATCTGAAGGAAGTCTAAAGCGAACCACGGGGGAGAGTATTCCAGAGAGAACGGCATGTGCAGGGTCAGAAGTGTGTCGCCTTTGACAATTTGGAAGAATGAAGCCTGGTGACCGTGACATGGAGTGAACGAGGGTCGGAGATGGAGCACGTAACCAGGTCCTAGTCAGTGTGCCGGGTGCTAAACCCTGTGCAAACGCTCACTCGTGTAATCATCACAGCAGCCCTGTGAGATGGTGCAGGTGGCAGCCAGGCAGGCAAGGGGTTAGGAGCCAGCAGTCCCAGATTGTGAGAGGGATGCCCCAGATTGGAGAGGGTGCAGACTGGGCTGAGGGACACACACACCTGCACGAATTTTATGCACCGGGCCTCTGGTTGGTACATAATTGACCAGTGAGGGGATTCACAAGCCTCAGTGGCCAATCTGAAAACCACCTCTGTGGCTGCCGCTTCTGGGAACTACCTCTTTTGCCTGAATTACTGTGAAAGCCTCCTCTCTGGTGTCTCACCTTCCACTCCCCCTTCCTCAAACAACAAAAGTGATCCTACAAAATGGTGTCTTCTCTGCCCTGCGCCTTCTTGTGAAGGCCCGAGTTCTCAGGGTGCCTAATGAGGCCCGCCTGGCCCGTCCCTTCTACTGCCCTCTCCTCCCCTTCCAGCCATTTTTCTCACTTCTGCCTCGGGGCCTTCACACTGCCTGTTGCCTCTCTCTAGAATGATCTTCCCGTAGGTACTACACTCTCCCTGAGTCCTTTTTTTTTTTTTTTTTTTTTTTTTTTAATATATATTATTGATTTTTTACAAAGAAGAAGAGAGAAGGATAGTGAGTTACCGTGTTTCCCCGAAAATAAGACATCCTCCGAAAATAAGACCTAGCGCATGGAAAGATAAGACATCCCCTGAAAATAAGACCTTGCACAACTTTGGGAGAAAAAATTAATATAAGACACTGACTTATTTTCAAGGAAACGGTAGGAATATCGATGAGAGAGAATCATCGATCAGCTGCCTCTTGCACACCCCCTACTGGGGATGTGCCTGCAACCAAGGTACATGCCCTTGACCGGAACCCTTCAGTCCACAGGCTGATGCTCTATCCACTGAGCCAAACCGTGGATAGTCTTTGCTCAAACATCATTTCATTGAGGCTTTTTCATGTGAGGGTTAAAAAATAAAAATAAAAATAGCCTTTGGCCGGTGTGGCTCAGTGATTAAAGTGTCACTAATTTGATTCCCAGTCAAGGGCTCACACTTGAGTTGCAGGTTCAATCCCTGGCCCCAGTGGGGGTGAGTAAAGAAGGCAACCGATGGATGTGTGCCTCTCACATCATTGTTTCCCTCCCTATCCCTCTCCCCCTTTCTCTCAAATCAATAAAAAAAAGAAGAGCCCCCATCTTTGATTCCTGTTTACTATTCTGTTTTTCTCCGTGAAATGTATCACCTTCTAAATACTCTACCACCTCTCTGCCCACTGGGAAGGGACAACAAGGCCTTTGGCAAGGCTGTTGGGTGGAGGAGGGTAATGGGGAGACATCAAGAGGGGCCTAGATAACGAGAGGGATGCATCTGAAATGCTGCCGCCCTGCCTGCCATCCACAGCCGAGTTCCGGAAGCGAGAGCAGCGAGGCTACCTTGGCGTGAACCTGGCGTTTATGACAAGGGCCAGGAGCACCGTGCCGGAGTCCGTCACCCAGCAGGTGTGTCGGGGTGGCTATGAGGAGGAAGCGGGGGGGAGAGCTGAGGATGTTCCTGGGGGTCTCAGCCCTAGAGTAGGGTGGAGTTTGGGCCCCCTCCCACCCTCCTATATTGCTGTGCTGTGGGGGGTCTCCCCTGAGGGGCTAAGACAGTGGTCGGCAAACTCATTAGTCAACAGGCCAAATATCAACAGTACGAGGATTGAAATTTCCTGGGAGAGCCAAATTTTTTAAACCTTCTAACGCCACTTCTTCAAAACAGACTGGCCCAGGCCGTGGTATTTTGTGGAAGAGCCACACTCAAGGGGGCCAAAGAGCCGCACGTGGCTTGCGAGCCGCAGTTTGCCGACCACGGGGCTAAGAGCATACCAGGGGAGGGGGCAGCACTTGGCCACTGTGCCAGGTGGTTCTGCTCCCTCTCGGCCTGACTCCTGCACATCCCCAGATTCTGCGCCAGAATCGGGGCCGCAAGGCCTGTGACCGGCCCGTGGCCAAGAAGAAGAAGAAGAAGGCTGAAGGCACGGTGTTCACCGAGGAGGACTTCCAGAAGTTCCAGCGGGAGTACTTCGGCAGCTAGGCGCCTGGAGGCCGTGGGAGAGGCTTGGGCTCGCTTCCTCCTCTGACCTCGCAGCCACTGCTGGGCCTGGCACCCTGCCATGCCGAGGGGCCAGCCTGACCCAGGAAGCCCCGGAGCTGGAGCCTGGGGCAGGGTGGAGGAGCTGGCGAGCTGGAAGCCTGCGGGAGCATTTGAACATTTACACTCTGACGGGAAACCCGCAGGCTTGGGAGGAGCTACCTTCCTGCCAAAAAGGAACCTTTCGGACTCGTTTGCTTTGGCCTGGGTGGGACCTCTTGGCTGTTTGCTGTGGAGGCCAGTTCCTGGGCCGCCGGGCCACACCTCCAGGAGCAGGGGGAGGCTGCTGGGTATGCTTCCAGGTTCTAATAAATAGGGGCTGGAGCTGGGTGTGCGCTGCTGGTCTGACCCATGAGGCGTCGCATCTCCTGTGGCACCAAAGAGCCTTCCCTCCCTCCCCACCTCCCAGTGTGGTTCCTGGAGCTCAGGGCAGAAGCCCTCCAGCTCAGCCCAGTGCAGGCTGCCAGGGTTCACACAGCATCTGCTGGCATGGCCAGAGGGGCCCTCCTCCCCTGGGGGTCGTGCCCACAGCTGCCAGAGGCTCTGATCCAGGGATGCCACTCCAGGGTCTGGGGGAGTTTTGCCAGCCTGTCATCCAAGTCCTATGCCCACATGTGAGGAATGTCAGAGTTGGGCTGGTGGAGTGATTCAGGAGGCAACTGCAAGCAACAGGGTTTCACACTCAGGTCTGCCTGAGCACAAAGGTAGGGGCTGGACCCCTTGCAGCTGGCCTGGCCCAGCATTGCCTTCAGCGTGGCGAGGACAAGTCCTGGAAGCCAGGGGCCCCTTGGGATTGGGGGCCTTCAGAGGGCGTAGGCACCTTCAGGCATCTCTTCTACCTCCTCCCCCTCCCAAGGGCTTCATAGGTCGTGGCAATCACTTCTGCAGGGTCCCCTGTGGCTGGAGCCAACCTCCCTGCACGGGTACTAGTGTGCCAGGAGGGCTCCTCAGCCCTACCCACTGCCTTGGAGCTTTTCCTGCTTATTAACCAGCTTTCCAGCCTGAGCCTGGACAGGAGTGCCACAGAACTGCGGGAGTAGAGCTGGACCTGGTCACGTCCGCAGGCTTTGGCCCTTTTCTCATGCTCCTCCTGCATTAACCCTGGTCGGGGAGGGGGGGACAGTATCCTTAAGTCATCTTTCAAGCTTAGGCTAGTTACAGTCCTTTTGAATGTGGGTGTGAATTCAGGACGGTGCTCCCTGAACAGCCCCAAAATGGAGGAACAAAGAGCAGCAGGAACTCTAGCCCAGATTAAATATCCTACCTCCTCCCATATCCTTCTTGCAGTGGCCACAATTCTGGCCCATGACCTGTTCCCAGGTGATGTCACCCCACCTTTCCTGGGCATGCACCTCTTCTCCCCCTGGGACCTAGAGGGAAGACCCCACACCATGGGCTCCTGGGGAGGGTCAAGTTGTAGCTTCCTGGTGAGGCTGCCCAAGTGACAGGCCTAGGTCCTTCCCCTTTTCTATTACAAGGGTGTCAAGATCAAAGGGAAGTAAAAGCTCATCAGCACACCCAGCTCAAGGACTGTGGAACCTTATCTGGGTGCGGAATGACAGATGGCAAGAGGCCGAACTAGAACAGGTGGAGCCTGGGCTGTTCCTACAACCCAGCCCCTCTGGTTAAAACCCCCACAAAGCCTTCCCCCTAACCAAGGGAGACCCTCCCACTTCCCAGCCCTGGAAAACCACATGCTGTTTGTTGGGGTTCTGGCCCAGAGTCCAATGTTAGTCACCAGTGATCCTATTACAAGCACACTTCACTCTGGGATCAGCCTTAAACATGCTGCAATCTCCCTCTGGTTAAGAATCCAGTTCTAAGACAGTTGGCTGGGTTGGGGCAAAAAGACAGTCTGCACAGTCCTTTCACTACAAAATAATTTATTATAATACAATCTCCAGCACAAGCCTCCTATGTACAAGCACACACCGACTACCCTACCTAGGGGGCCTTTTTCTTCCCCCTGGCCTTGCGGACCTCTTCTATCAGATCTTTCAGATACTGGATCTCCTTGGCCAAGGAATCGGCCTTCTCTCTCAGAGCCTCGTTCTTCTTCTCTAGCTCCTTGCACTCCCCGGTGAGGGCCTCCTGCTCCGCTCGCTTCTTCTGGCGGTACCTAGTGGCTGCCGTCTTGTTCTGCTCCATCTTTTTCAGCCTTTTATCTAGCTTCTCACCCTTTACTTTTGCTACCACCACCTTCTCTACAGGAGGGTCATAGGGTTTGGGGCCAGCAGACCCACAGGGGGTAGCTGGAGACAGCAGATTCCTGTTTGGGGAGGCCCTGGAGGTGGAGGGGCTATGCTGGGGAGAGCCCAGGTAGGACTCGGGGCTCATACAGACGCCACTGTCATTGTCTGAGGCGACCTCCTCCTCCTTGATGCATTGAGGGACTATGGTAATAAAAGTAGCCGAGTCTGATTTCCTATCTCCTTCTGAGATGTCAACTTCACTGCCCAGCTCTAAACTGAATGAATGCTCGGGAGTGCAGGACAGGGGCTCTGGGTTAAGGGGAAGAGGTTGCAGGAAGGTGAAGGGAGCAACCTGGTCAGTTTGTAGTAAACTTTCTGGAAGATGGCCAATTGGGTTCACTGTATGGAGGGGCTCCTTATTAATCTCCTGGTCTAGGGGGTCAAAGAGTTCACAGGGGTCATCCAAGGTGGCCAAAAGCTCATCATCGGGCATGGTATCCAGGTCACCCAAACTTAACAGGGCATCGAAGTCAAACTCCTTGAGATCCATTTTCTCCACCATCCAATCTGTCCCCGAAAAGGCGTCCTCTGCAAAAAGATTGAAAAAGAACATCAGTTCAGCCAGATGCACAAGGCAGCCAACAATGACCAGAACTCCGTGGCAGATAAAACGACGGGCACTTACCCTTGCCGTTGTCCGAGGCACTGACCAACCCATCCGCAGCCAGCCATTCGGAGGAGCCCGCCTTCGCCTGGTCGCTGGAGAACCCATGGGGTTTCAAGTTCTTGGCCACCTCCAGGTAGTCGTCTAAGAGATCTAAGCTTTCTTCAGCCCCCAAAGCCGACTGGCTGAAGGGGGACATCAAGCCCCCCACCAACACCTCGCTGCTCAAGAAGCTCATGTCGGTCATGTTGCGGGGCTCTGCTGGAATCGAGGAATGTGTTCAAGTCGAATGTGTCTTTGTCGGTTACAGCAAGGCTGCTGCTGAATGCCGTGAAAAGCCTGCATAGGAGCGAGGAACGAAATCCCATTAGCCGTCAGCTGGCCTGGAAACGTCACCTTCCCCCGCCGGGGCAGGAGGGCTTGGCGTAGGGGCCTGCAAACACGTGGCGCCAGGGCCACGGTGCTCCTCCGCCCGGCTGCCGGGCCATTCTCCAAGCGGCCGCCAGAGGTAGGGCTGCTTCCTCTCCTCCGGGCCAAACAGGCCGCGCCCCCGCCTCCCCCGCCCTGTGACTCACGCCCCGGCCGCCGCCCAGCCCGCCGCCATCTTGGCTGCTGCCACGTTTCGCCCGGCGCCAGGCGGGCCCCGGCGGAGTAGGGGTGGGGCTGGGGCGGGAGAGGCGAGGCCACCGGGGCTTTTCCCCCGGCCCAGGCCCCGCTCCCCCAGCCCAGGCGCCGGCGTCTCGGAGCAGCCAAACTGGGGCCCGGCGTCCCCCGCGCTCGTAAAACCGCTTCCCCCTCCGCGGCGCCGCCGGCTGCGGCCGCGCCCATAGGATCGCGGGTCCCCGACGCCCCAGGGGCGCCCGGGAACGGCAGCCCGACCCCGCACTTACGCCATGGCTTAAGCCGCTGGGAGGTGCCGCTGCAGAGCCTGGTGCTGCTGCCGCCGCTGCGAAGGCCAATGCTGCCGCTGGCACTGCTGCCTCTAGTGCGCCATGTCGGCCGGAGCTGTGGGAGCGGAGGTGGGAGGGAGGGAGGGACACGTTCAAGAGACTACATCTGCAGCGGGAGAGGAAATGGCCGCGCCGGCCGCGCCGCGGGTCTTTTATAACTTTTTTCTCGCCAAGACGCATCACAAGGAAGATCCTTCCGCTGCTGTCACGTGACCTCCGCCTCCCACCCACTTATTTCCACCCGTGGACGCCCTACCTCTTCCAACCAACGACTTTTTCGGCCAGGGCGTAACTCCAGAGAGAAAATTTGCTGTTTTAAAGGCCTCGAGAAACCAAAGATACGCTGCTTTACAAGGCTCCTAAGATCAAAGAGTCCCTCTCATCGCCGAGCGCGGAGGGATCCATCGGACGTGCCCCGCTTCCGGTCCTAATTGAAGGGCGGGGAGAAAAGTCACTTCCAAGAAAGGTTTGTATTGTGAAGCCCCGGAGCCTTCTCATCGCGCGAGATGCCGGCGGAGAGCGCGCACCGAGCCGATTGGCCGCCCGTGGTGAGTCATATATATCTCGAGTTGTTATTGGCTCAGGGTCCAAGGTGGGTGGGCTCTGCAGTGAGGTGACCTCCGATGCGCGAGGGAAGGGCGGGGCGGCAGTGTTTCCCCGCGTGTGGGGTCTGGCGGTCTGTTGTCCGTCCGCCCCCTCTGGGCGCCACAGCTCTGCAGGGGCTTCCTCAGGCCTGTCGCTGGCCACGGCGCTTCTCACCCCGCGAGTCCCGGGCGGTGACATCGGGCCCCAGCCCCTGCGGTCGCTAAGTTGCCTGCTCGTAGCGTAGCTCCAACTAGGGACCGGATTGCGGCTGGAAGATGAAGCCAGGCAAAAGGAAATGTCCTTTCGTGTGCGATCTCACCACATGGAAGCCCTTCGGTAGCTGGAAGGGGCGCCTGAGGCCCAGAGGTGGAAGGTCCCCTGATCATTCCCACCTACCATCGCAGGCAGCTCTGCGGCCTTACTCCACATTCTGTCAAGTTGCGCCGGGAAGATGCACCATCCAGTAGCCCAACCAATGCTGCTTTTATATATCCACTCTGCCAACATGCTTATCTATTAGAATCCGCAGGCTATCACAGCAGAACTTGTTTGGTTGTTTCTCTAAACAAGGAAAAAATTCACTCACCTACCTACCACTTCTTAACCCTCAGGCGTCCGCTTCCTACCAAGTCCTCGGGGGATGGCCCCGTGAGGAGCCGAGAACGCTGCCTGGAGGGAAGGAAACCTTGAGTTGTGCCTCCAGCATTTCAGCGGGCCCGGAGGGCCGAGCTGTGGAAACACTGGGAACCTCTGTCCTAACTACAAGCCATTGACTGGCTTCATCTAGTTCAACTTTACAGTGGAGAACAGGACGAATGGGATGAGGTGTTCTGCCCAAAGTCACACAGCTCCCAGGAAGGCAGTGTGGGGTAGGAGTTAGAAGGCAGACCCTAGGGGGCAAACCCAAAAGAATCCTGGCTCTTTCAGGAACTAGCTAGGATGTTTTGGTTAAGTGACTTAATTCCTGCTGGGGCTCAGTTTCCTCGTCTGTAAAATGGGGCTAATGATGAGTATATCATTATCCTTAGAATGAAGTGAAAAGTGCCTGGTACGTGATAGGTGCTCAATTGATTATTTTTTTTTACATTTAATAAATATTTATTGAACATTTATTATGTATCAGGATGTTTTCTAGATGCTGGTCATATTGCAGTGAACCAAAACAAAAAAGACAAAAAGATAGAAAATCATTAATCATAGAGGTTAAAGACAAAATAAAATAATGAGTAAAACCTAAAGAATTGGTGATAAGTGTTCTCTGGAGAAAAACAGAGCAAGAAATGATAGAAAGGAAATGAAAAGGGAGAAAGGAGAAAGGAAATTATAATTCAAAACACCATGACCCCCTGATATGCTTTCTGAGCAGACCTGGAGGAAGGCAAGGAGGTACCACATGCATATCTGGGAAAGAGGATTCCCGACAGGTGCCAAGTGTCAAAGTCCTGAGGTAGCTATGTGTCTGGATGCCACAGTGGCTGGAGCAGAATGACGGGGTGGGGGAGGAGGGGAAATAGTGATAGCAGCTGAGTTTAGATTAAAAGGAGGCCTGATCCTGCTGGGGCCCTAGGGGCAAAAAAGGGCTTTCTTTGTGGCTTCCTTTGAGCATGATGGGGAATCACTGGAGGTTTTAAGCAGAGGAGCTTACAAAGTAAGAAAAATAATGGCTCAGGCCAAAGCCCTGGGCCTCTTTCTCCTGTCACCTCTGAGCCAAAACTCTCAATTGATTATAATATTATTAGAATTCAGGTCTTCTGACCCTGACCTCCCAATCCCCACCTCCCCATCTCCATTACGTCATCCTGCTTCTCAGAGGGCTCCCATCATTAACTGAGAGGAAGCCAACAACTATAAACAACTGGTAAGTGCAAACCATACTGGATCCTGGTGTGTGTGGTTTTTCTTTCCCCTTGGGGAGTCCCAAGTATTGAGATAACGTAAGTCGTCCAGCCTTTAGATCAAAGGCAGGGAGGGTCCCTGAGCCACTCCACAAACCTTCCAAAGGCCTAAGGACCCGCAGGGCGTGTCCTCCTTTTCTTGTTTCAAGAGACCTATCGGTGCCTCCTGAGGGCTGACCACGCAGATGGTTGAAAATTAAAGTAACACTGCCCCAGTTCCGACACAGCAGAGGTCACGGAAGAAAGACTGCAGTAGCAGCTTGTCCCAGCCATTCGATTATGGAGGCCCGGATCCAGCTCCTCGCCGTTCTAGTGGACAGGAGGAACCAGTAGCACCCCTGTGGGAAAAGGTTTCACGCCACACACAAGCCAAAGCTGATGGGAAGGAGACTTTTATTTTCTTCCCGTGCTGTGAAGGACACGTTTCCAGCTTTATCTCCTCCCTCAAGGAGAAAAGGGACAGCAGTTCCCTGGCTCTTAAGGCTAAGCTGCTTCTCTATGGAGCTAACCATGACAGGGCGAAAGGTTGGTGACTGACTCCAAATTACCAGCCAAACATACCAACTACGGTACTACTGAGGGCAGGCAAGTGACTGGAAGGCAAACTGTGGACCAGGAATTTAAAGACTACAAGGTCAAAATGAAAAGGTAAACAACATGCTGTATACAACCAATCGCAGAACCACATCTCGGGCACACTGGCCACTCAATCAGTAGCTGTCCAAGAAGGCTACAGCCTCACTGCACTAGCCCTAGGTGTCTTTGGCCTTGAGCTTCAGCAGCCAGGGCAGAGTTCTAACAAATCCTGACAACAGACGTCCCCAGCCAGGTCATCGTCTCAAGAAAGATGAACCACAGCAGATGACTCGGAACACAGGCAGGGATCCCCACTTACAGAAACCCCCACGGGACTCTCCTGGGCCATGTGACCCTAAGGTTGATTCCTCATCCAAACCACTCATGTTCTAAACCTGAGTGGAGTACGAGGAAGCAAACTCAGCTGGTCTGGAGTGTCACCCAGTGGACCACCAGGGGCTGAGACCCAGGAAGAAAGACTGTAGGCCTCAACACAGCTTTTCCAAACAAGCTTTGATTATTTATTTGGAAAAAGAAAAAAGAAAAAAAAGTCACAAGCAAGTGTATAAAAAATACTATTGTCCTGAATTCATTTCTAAAAAAGGGCAACAGGGAAAACCCAAATACACTTTGTTAATCAGCTTAACAATAACCCACAACCTTTGGACCAACTCCAAATACACTTTGGAATTGATTAGAATTTCCAGACAATGAGTGTACTGTGTAAGCATTAGGCTGTGGTTTGTGTATCTTAGTGGGTGTAAGTTTCCAAATGGAGACGTAGGACCAGATGCTATTGCTTCAGGAAAGTTGAGTTATGAGCAGAAAGGCAGAATGGCGGGAAAGGCACCACATCTTTCCCCAAAAACTAAAAGGGGAGCGGGGAGGGAGGCAGGATGTTGCTCCCTTTACCAGAGAATCTCAAAGTACTTGTCTGTCTGCCATGTTTTATGATGAGGTTTGCCCAGTTGGTCAGCAAAACCGCCAGACCAGGGCAGGGAATTCACACAGCTTCTAGTTCTGAGAACTCCTAAGAGGTTCTTGCTTATGAAATGGCAAAGTTATGGTTTCTTGATTTTATGAAACAGTTGAGAGATGCCCTTAGAAATATGCTCTAATAGAGGAGATACACTCAAATCACAATTACACTTGGCTTGAATAATTTGAGACTTGATCTTTAAAATGTATTTTTTTTTTTTTTAGCTATTCTTTCAGTGTTTTATATGGAATTTGATTGGAGACACCACCTTGGGAAAAATTGCAAGGTTTTGGGTTTTTTTTCCTTCTGTTTTTGTCTAGCCTTTCAGTGCAAAGGCAGTAAGAATTCCTGCCTTTATATTTGTTTGTTTTTAAATATATTTTTATTGACTTCTGAGAGGAAGAGAGACAAAAACATCAATGATTAGAATCATCGATCAGCTGCCTCCTGTACACCCTACACTGAGCTTTAGCATTGTGGGGACCGAGCCCACAATCCAGGCATATGCCCTGACCGGCAATTGAACTATGACCCCCTGGTTCATGGGTCAACACTCAAACATTGAGCCACACCAACAGGCAAATTGTATGTTTTATAATACACTGGGAAAACCAGATCCTTTTATCTCAATGAATAAAAACTCATGTTTTGGCAACACTTTCTCAGCCCACCCCTCTTGGATGCCATGCCAGGCTCCACCCACTCACCAGGGCAGCACTCTGGCATATAGAGTTTTAAAACCTCATTTTGATTCTGAACAGCCAGGCTGGAGAATCCCTCAGGGTTCTGAGCTTTATAATTTTCGTTCTCTCCCAAAATCTTCATACAAATGAAACAATTGGACCACTTAAAGGAACCCTTTGCACACATAGAAAAGGCAGGAAGTTCTCCAAGGTTAACCCCAGTTCTCAACCCCCTAATCCATGACCAAAGGGAACAGGAATCTCACCATGGACTCAGAGGCTAGCTGAGGTCTCGCTATTTATAGAGCGTTTTCATGTCACTGTCATTGGGAGGGAAGGAGACAGCTGCAGAGAGCTTCGCCAGAATCTCACTGGCTGGAGAGGTAGTGTGCACAGAGGAAACAGCAACACTTGTTGGGAGAACAAAATACTGGACAGGGTGATCAGAAACAGAACTATCAGGCTTTTGCCACAAACAGAAAAAAAAAATACACCAAACAAGAAGATGCACTGGCATTGTGTATTGAACACTCCTCCCCACCCCACCCAGGATTCTTTGTACATTGCAATAAATAGTGCAATTTTAGCAGCGGGAAACAAGGAGCGTAGGAAGTCCCACCTCCTTCATGTATGTTTTATCCATGTGCACTCTTCCTAGGTAGCACCATTCTCCCCAGGTGCTGGGTGAGAGACAGACGGGAGTGGAAGTGGAGGGGAGGAGAGGGGAGAGGTCTGAGCATGTGTGCTTGCCTTTTGGCCTCTGGAGGTGCCTGGAGGGTTCAGCAAACAGCCCTCTCCCACTCCTATGGCAGGCTGCTCTTGCTCTAAGACCACATCCTAGAAAGGCAGGCCTGGTGGGGAGAAACATGGTCACTGAGCCACAACCGGTGACTGGATTTTCCAGCTGACATCCCGCTGCCTGTCAACCTCCCTCCAACTTCTGGGGCTAAGGCTGTGTTCTCGGAGGCCTCATCCTTTTAAAGGACAGCGAGGCAAGGGAGAAGGTGAACGGACTGCTCATGCAGAGGTGCTGCCCTCGCAGCCCCTCCCTCCGCATGAGTCTCTCTCTGCCTCCGGCACACAGGTGGTGTTGGTCTGGACCAGCCACACGAGCTGGAGACATCAAGTACACAGACCCTCTCCCAGGCCACCTCCGGTTCCCGCACTCTGCACGCTCACTGATGGTCCCTAAGAATCTCCAAATAACTGCATCAGTTTACCTTGAGCCCCCGATCCTGTGTGGGCAGTAACAGTGTTCCCGTGAGAGACCTCTCACCCTATGGCTACGAGCTGGTCAGGAGGTTGGGGGAATGGGCCTCTTTCCCAGGAACCTGAGTCAACGGCCAGCTCTTCGGCTACTTTACCCCAGAACCCCTAAACACTGCCTGAGCGCTCTGCAGGTCAGCTTGGAAACATGCGATCATAAGCTCAGTGATATTCAACTAAAGGCAACGTCTTGATTGGCAGGTGTGCTCCAGGGAAAGGAACAAAACGGGCATGAACAGCAGGAAAGGGAGAGAAGACGGAAGGGAAGCAGGCCAAAGGGCAAGGCAGGACAGACAGGAGCAGAAAGCCTGGGCCACATGCAAAACACCAAGTGGTTCCCATAGCTCGGGCCAGAGCTTCACCTCGACAATTCATTCCAGCAAAATCGGCCGGGAGCACGGGGCGGAGGAGGAGGAGGAGGAGGGAGCACAGTGTTTGGTAACAAAAATAGAAAGGGTTGGGTTTGAGAAAATAGGAGATTTAAGAGATGTCATTCTAACCAGCGTGAAGTGACCAGGGCGATGACCAGCAAGACGGGAGGCACCTAGGACCCTGTGAGGCACCATCTCTAGAGCCCGGTGTTCCTAACAGAATCCAGGCCTGACTGCCCAACACCCACCGGCCTTTGCCTGCCCTACGTCTGCAGCAGCACCTCCGGCTCAGACAGCGAGCAATAGAGAGTGTACCCCAACTCGTCTATCTCTTCCGGGGTGAGCTCAGCAAACAAGTTCACCTTGGGGTTTAGGGCACTGGGCAGGACTCCGGCCTCTAGGTACCTGATGAGTCCCCTCAAGGCCTGCAGGAACCGGTCGGCCAGCACATCTGGAGACCAGTCAGCCTCGTCCCGGGCCAAGTGGAGGATGACGTTGGTGAGCTGGCTGGCAGTGAGGTGGCCCAGAGCTGGCGTGGACTTGCATATGGCCTTGAGGATCTTGAGGCACAGAGATCGGCAGCCCGAGTCGGCCTGGTCCAAAGCCCGCAGGCGCGCCGTCTCAGCAGGACGCAAGCTCAGCCGCCACAGGTTGTCATACTGGGCTAGCCGGTGTGGCCTGGCCACCAAGACCGTGTCACCGAGAGTCACTGATGGCAAGAAGTCGATGACAAGATGTTTGTCACGCTCATACTGCACTTCCAGAGTCAAGGCCTCTGGGGGGGGCGCCGGGCGGATCACATAGTCCAAGAGAGACCCTATGGCCGGCCAGTTGATGGAGCCGGCCACCACCTTCTCAAATGTGTCCGCCACCGTCTTTGGGGAGAGGTAGCCCCCTACCACACAGCGGTCCCAGTAACTACTGCCGCGAGGAAAGTACTCGGGGTTCTCACGACGAACCAGGAAGAAGCCGGGGACATTCATGATGGTGTCCTCTCCGGGAATGCACGACCACAGGTTCTGCTCCAGGACAAGGGGCACAATGAGTTGGATGTGGTCCGCTGTCACCACCTGGTGAGAAGAATTAAAAAGGTTTTGAGGGATGTGATCTGCTCGAGAAGCCAGCTTCCTCACACACAGGTCCCTCTATTTTGTATTTCCCCAACAATAAAGGAAACTAAGAATTCTTTCCTGTCAACCTTTCAGTTCCGATAGAGACATACTGAGGATTTAAGCCCAAGTCTGCAGACCCCCGCTCGTGCTCATGCCACATGGCACATTGTATTGAGACATGAAAGCATGCAGGACAGCCCCCACGCCTAAAGACCCGGTAAGAGAAACTAGAAAGGAGAGGCAGGGACAGGAGTGGAGGAAGGAGGAGCCTGTTACGGTTTCCCAGAAGTTGTGTGACTAAAAACCAAAGATGTATTTTTAAAGACCAAGATAAATTTTTAAAAAATGAATGAGATCTGTATCTGAAAAAAAACAAGACCCAAGATAACGATCTCCAAATGCTCCCGGTGTGCAGGGTTCAGAGCAGTCAGACTTCAGTCTTCGCGGCAAGCCTGGGGCACTCATCTTTTGTACAACAGCACGACTGAGCAGCACCCTCGTCAGCACCCAGCCCGGCCCTGGTGAGCACTGCCTGTTACCTGCAGGTCGTCATAGAGGCTGCCGCTCAGGTACATGTCCCGGAGCGGCATGTCAGGCAGCTTGGCCCGCAGGAAGCCCCGGAGCTCAGCACATATGTCCACCGCAGCCTGCTTGGCCCGAGCCTGCTCACCGGCAGGGATGGCAGCCCGGGTCCGGTAGTAAGAAAGGAGTTTCTCCTGCAGGGACATGCGGAGTCGTGACTTCTTCAAGTCCACCTGGCCCTTCCTGGCCAGTGGCTTGGGCTGGGGCGGGCAGAATGTATCTGCCAAGGCAAGAGAGAGAGGCATGTCAGCTCTTCCCAGCTGCCGCCACCCAGAAAGAAAGTGCGAGCACGGTGCCTGGCACGTACGTGCTCAGGGGATGTGTGCTGCACGCGGGAGCAGCACCGAGAGCCACAGGGAGGTCCCAGAAGGGGCCAGGGGCTCACTCACCTGTGTCAAAGGCCGAGGAGTCCGTGGGGAGGGTCTGCAGGGACCGGCTCAGGCCCGTCTTCATGTCCTTGTTCAGCAGCCGGGGGGAGCCCATCCAGTTTGGTTCCTCCCAGCTCCTCTTCCCCGAGTGGCCCAGGCGGGTGGGGCTGGTCGGGGCACTGATGGCCCGGTCGTACATCTGAAACAGCCAGAGGACCACACATGTTCCTTCCTGCCTGCTCCCCTCCTTCCCCGCAGCTGTAGTGAGCTCTAAGCTAGTTTCCAATACCTTGGCTTTATTCTGGATTATTGGATACTCTCTCCAGGTAGAAAATAGGAAAGTTCAGGAAACATGAAATGATATAAATAAGAAACAGATTTATCCATAATGTCACCACCCAGAGATAAATGTTAATATTTTTAGTATATTTCTTTCTGGAAATGTAGGCTTAGGTAATTAGGATCTTGCTCTATATATACTTTTAAAACCTAATTTTTTTCACTTATGATTTTTGTCATTTACTCAGACCAGTAAAAATGAGCCAGTGTTCAATATTATGGTGCATCTTCTAAATATACAACACTGTACCTTCCGAATGTAAGGGTGAACTAATTTATTTACTGAGTGGCTACGATATGCTGTGCTAGGTACAGGATAGAACACTAACCAGAGACCCCTGGAGCTTCCAGTCCATAGAGGGACACAGGCAAAACATCAAGTTAAATACAAAGTAGGCAGAAAGGTAAACGTTAAGATAGAGGAGAAAAGGAAAACCAGAAGTGTCTGCGTGGTGGGGTTGCTGTTTTAAATAAGGCAGTCAAGGAAGAATCTTTTGGATATTTATAATTTCTCACCCGCTGGGATAAACGTCTTTATTTGATTTCTTTAGGGAAGAGACCTAGAAGTAGCCTTAACTGAACTCTTGTAAGGTCTCATCTAATAACCAATGACCCTGCTGGACTCCATGAGCGGCGTCCAGGCCCGTTCCAGACCAGCTCTGCTCCCGAGGCAGCCCCCTCTCCACCCGGACTCAGCTGCAGGCACTTACCCGTTTCACAGCCAGCGTAGCGATGCCCAGCATGGCTGCTCCGCCCACCCCCAGCACCAGCCGGGCATTGGAGAGCACAAAGTCAATGGCCGTGCCAATGCCATTGTCATCCTTCTTGCCTTTGCGCTGGCCAGCGCCTGCCATTGCTCACCTGAGGATGAAGGCAGAACACAGCCGTCACCACCTGGGGCCTCACACACTGCCAGCTGACAGTCACTGTCAAGTCCAAGAATATTTCCCCCGAACTAGAGCTAGAGCCTGGGTGGCCCTTTTCTCCCCCTTCCACATAACAGGCTTCACGGGAGGGCAGATGGGACCACTTGGCCAAATGAACTACATTCCCACGTCAAACACAGAGCAAGCCAGGCCGACTGAGAGTTTCCTTTGTATTTCCAGGGAGGCGGGCCAGATGCCAATCATCCTCTCCAGTGGCCACTGACACAGGGATGGGACGTATCACTCAGGTGAGGCAGCAGAATCCAGCCAGGACCACATGGACATTGCATGGTTCCCACACGTGATAACCCCCGTTCTGTGGTTGTTTTAACCAAGAGAAGCTCTGCTAATATATTTGTAGTAGAGAGAGCCACTGGATGGAGGCGCTCTAAGTCAGGGGTGGGGAACATCTGGCCAGAGGGCCATGTTGGCCCTGCCAAAGCGTTAGGGGTGAGTTGTCTGACGCAGGCTGGTTTTTAGGTAGATAATTGTTTTCAGGTAGATAATAACATGCTGGCCCATGAAGGAGGTTACAAAAAGCTAAATGGCCCCTGGCAGAAAAAGGCTCCCCCTGCTCTAAAGCCTGGGTTTTTGAGTCAGAAATCCTGAGATGGATTTCAGGATTTGCCTTTGAACCCTGAATTATTTAACCCCTCAGCTAGGAAAGGGGGGAATGATGCCCGCAGGGCCTAAATCATAGAGCTGTAGTGAGGGGGAAATCCTGTATGGAAACACTTCTATACTGTCAAGTACGTTAAAATAAACTGTCAGCCGAAACCGGTTTAGCTCAGTGGATAGAGCGTCGGCCTGCAGACTGAAAGGTCCCAGGTTCAATTCCGGCCAAGGACATGTGCATTGGTTGCGGGCACATCCCCAGTATTTTTCAGATACAGATGTTTCTCTCGCATCGATGTTTCTACCTCTCTATCCTCTCTTCCTCTCTGTAAAAAATCAATAAAATATATTTTAAAAAAATAAAAAATAAACAAACTGTCAAATACTCCAAAAATTTGGGTTTATCATTGTCTTTTCAGATTTGCACCCACAGGACAAAAGTTCAACTTCCAGAAGGCAGTCAGCCATCCAGATGCTCTTTGAGCTACGTCTGAGCTCCTGAGACAGAGGCAGGAATGGCCTCCAGAAGCAGCCAGCCATCCAGATGCTCTCTGAGCTACCTGTGAGCTCCTGAGACAGAGGCAGGAATGGCCTCTAAAGCTCAGGCCGTGCTGTCCTGGGCTGGAGATTAAACGTTAAGTTGAGCAGACTGTTCCCTCCTCTAGTGAGACATGCTCCCCACCCAGGGGCCTGGTGACCTGGAAGAGCGCGCAGCCATGAGCCCCAGCACGGAGCTGAGGGCTTCCTCTAAGGTGCCCTGTTCCAGCTGGAAGGGCTTCGCCGTGCGTCCTGCTAGTGGGCGCTCCAGGCAGGGGGGCGGGCTCCTCAGTGCTATCAGAGCGCTGGGGTTCGATGGGCAGAGTCTCCGTTTTGCAAGATAAAAAGTTCTGGAGCCGGGACCGGTTTGGCTCAGTGGATAGAGCGTCGGCCTGCGGACTGAAAGGTCCCCGGTTCGATTCCGGGCAAGGGCACGTGCCTTGGTTGTGGGCACATCCCCAGTAGGGGGTGTGCAGGAGGCAGCTGACTGATGATTCTCTCTTATCAATGTTTCTAACTCTCTATCCCTCTCTCTCTTCCACTCTGAAAATCAATTAAAAAAAAATTTAAAAAAAAAATTTCTGGAAATGTTACACCACAGGGTGGACATTCTTTTTTTTTTTTTTTTGCCATTTTTAAAATATAACATTGCTTAGACGGTTTGATACAGAACAGCTTTGCTTCTCATTATGAATTGGAAGTACCACACAACTGAATACAAAGAGGAACAAAAGTACAAAACCAAATCTGTGATTTTGTTCACGTGGCATAAACAATGTGAATATTCTTAACACTACTGACTGTACCGTGAAAACTGGCTGTGGCCTGGCGGACAGAGCGGGCAGGGCAGAGCGGGCAGGGCAGGGCAGGGGGTGGAGAATCTGAGCACAGCCAGCATTTCAGAAACACTCCTCACCCCAACAATCCTGTCAGGCGGGCAGTCACACCATCCCAATTTCCGGACGAAGAAACGGAGCAAAGGTGATGGCACTGGCCCAGGGTCACCATGGCAGTAAGTGGGGCCAAGATCGGAACCAGCCGAGCTGCTGGGGGTAGTTCATGGGGTCTCAGGCAGCCTGCTCACATGTCCTCTGTTAACCACTAGACCACAAGCTTTCGGGGGCATCTGCTTCATTCACTGCTCCGGCCCCGCCCATGGGTGACACACAGTATGTGTTGCTCAAGTGAGCTGTGAACCCGGTGGCTTTTTGTTTGTTTTTCCAAGGAGGGGGTGGTGGCGACCTGTAACCCAACTCAGACAAAACTGATTAGGAGCTCAGGATTTCACTATGTGGTTCCAGACCTGCCGCCCTTGCCGAAACCAGTTTGGCTCAATGGATAGAGCCTCGGCCTGCGGACTCAAGGGTCCCTGGTTTGATTCCGGTCAAGGGAATGTACCTTGGTTGTGGGCACATCCCCAGTAGGGGGTGTGCAAGAGGCAGCTGATCGATGATTCTCTCTCATCGATGTTTCTAACTTTCTATCTCTCCCTTCCTCTCTGTAAAAAATCAATAAAATATATTAAAAAAAAAAAAAAAAAAAAAAGCCAATCTCCAAAGGACTGGCTTACATACAAACCTGCCACCCTTGCTGAAACCAGTTTGGTTCAGTGGATGGAGCATCAGCCTGGGGACTAAAGGGTCCCAGGTTCGATTCCAGTCAAGGGCATGTACCTTAGTTGCGAGCACATCCCCAGTAGGGGGTGTGCAAGAGGCAGTTGATCGATGATTCTCTCTCATCGATGTTTCTAACTCTCTATCCCTCTCTCTTTCTCTCTGCAAAGAATCAATAAAATATATTTTATATTAAAAAAAAATTTTAAAAAAACCTGCCGCCCTTCCTGGGCAGACAGCCCCCTATGGGTCCTGCGCTGCCTAAGGCTGTCTGCCATCAACCTAGTGGCTGAGGACCCAAAGCCATTCCTTTCGGCTCCTCCCTGCTTTTCCTGTGGAAGCTGAGCAGTCCCTCCTAGCTTTCCCCTCAGTTATCCCCCATTCTCCTTTCTCCTCCTGCTTCGGCCAGCGGGTGGCCAATCCCGCTGCTGTACAAGCCGTATTTACGTGCGGCCCCCCCACCTCCTCGGTCCAATCTCAGCGGCCACGTTCGCTGCCTCTGGTCTCCCCCCCCCAACTTCTCCGGCTGCTGCTGCCGCGCTTCCTCTCCCAGGACATTCGCTGCTTTCAAAGCTGTGACGGTCCCCCTCCTATCAGCCGTCCCATCTCCTCCCCGGGGGATTCGGTGTCCTTCCGGACCTGGCCCAGCCTCCACTCCAGCCACCTGCCTCGCAGGTGCACCGTTCCAGCCAAGCCAGACTCAAGTTTCCAGCACAAAGTGCAGCTGCACCTCATTGGCTGCTGCTTCCCATCTACTCAGCAGCCTCAAATGTCCCCTTTCCTGCAGCTCCCTGCGGGTCCCCGCCACCACCTGCCCAAGGCAGCTAGGTTCCTATCCCTGTCTCTGAGCTCTGGCCCCCTCCACTACAGCTGCTCATGCCGGAACTACTTCCTGCTGATCTCTTAAGACCAACTCCCTGGACGGACAGTACCATCACCTCTACCCCAGCGCCTACAGGAAGGCCAGCACAGAAGGCAAAGCTGCCGAATGACGTACAACCATTAGGTTACACTTAGTGGGACGTCAGTAACAGTGGTATCGGGAGCGATCCTAAGTAACCCGAAGTGCTGTGTGTGCATGCTCACTGAATCCTCCTAGCCTAAAGAGGGAGTGTGTCCATTTTACACCTGAGGAAATGGAGGCCTAGAACACCCCACAGCTACTAGCAGCAGTGCCAGGCTGTGCGCCCAGACACTGTCCCCCGATGTCTGTACCCTCGGCTTGCTTTACATCACAGACCGCTGTCCTGGGATCTAGCTATGTTTTGGGGGATGTGATCAGACCTGCAGGATAACTGAATGTACAGAAGAATGAGCCAGCCTGGAATTAAACTCTAACCATTTTAACCGATGTCTTTTCTCACGTTTTCACAGTCAAACCGTTATATGTGAACGAGGATGGTGATAACAAGCCCATTCTGGCAGGGCTTGAAACTCAGGGCCTCTCTTTCCTCAGTAAGGGGACAGACTGTCGTTGCTCCGCTGATTTCTAATGATTAAAGGACTTCAGTCCCTAAAAAAAAAAAAAGGGGTCTCCTCTCCGGGTCCCCGGCATCAGAAAAAAAAACACGAAACCGCCGAAACGGGTCTGGCTCAGTGGATAGAGCATCGGTCTGTGGACTGAAGGGTCCCGGGTTCGATTCCGGTCAAGGGCCTACCTACCTGCAGCTGCTACTGCATCTGTGAGGCGGGGGTGGGCGCGCAGACGGTCCGCAGAAGGCACCTGTGCCCTCCCTCCCTGGGAATCAGGATGGACGAGGACAGGAGAGGGTCTTAAATAAGGCCCCCCAGTCTGCGCTGGAGGAAGACCAGGCCCTTTTCCAGCTGCCTCTCCCGGGCCTTGGGATCCTCTAGCTTCTGGTTTTTCCGGAACTCACGGCGGATGGAGGTGAGATAGAAGTCCCGGTCCGTGTAGCGGAGCTCCCGGCCCTGGCGCAGCAGAGCCCGGTAGAGACTCAGCACCGCCTCTCGGCTCCACGGGGCCATGGGGGACGGGCAGGGGCTGGGCGCCAAGCTGTAAGCAGGAGGGAAAACAGAAGCCTAGAGTCAGAATTAGTAACAGAAGGGCCTACGGAGACGATCTAAAAGTCAAGAGTCCTTCGGGTACGTCTCAGATGCCCCCAAAGCCGCACTGTAAGTTAGGGATAGGGTTAGGGCCAGACCCCAGCCTCTCGCCAGGCTCCTGGGAAGCACAGTTTATGCTGAGGGGCCAGGGCTCGGAAACGGAACTGTCTGGGCCTGAATCCTCACTCCTCGGCTTACCATGTGACTTCCACGTGACTTTGGACAAAGCACTTTCCCCCTCTAAGCATCCGCCTTCTCCCTTGCAAAATAGGAATGATATTTGTTACCAGAAGCTGCTACATAGTTGAGAACAGTGTGATACACATGTAAAGCATCTGTAACAGCATTTCACCACAGGGGTGGTCCAGGCTGCCCAGAGGACCCTCAGATACACATGAATCCTGGCATCCCCACTCCTGAGCTCATCACCGTGGGCAGGTTTCTTAGCTCCTCTGCCTTACCTGCTTCTCACCCGGAAAATGAGGGTTCAAACTGCATTCTGCCCAAATGGCTGGTATGAGGGTAAGAGGAGTTAATGTATGGGCACATGTCTGGCACAGCACTTGGCACACACCAAGACTCCATCTAACTCGGATGGCGATCACTAGTGCCGAGCCTGGTCTGTAAAGGCTCAATGAACGGATTTCGTTCCTCGTGAACCGCCACCATCCCCTTCCAGGAACAGGGTGTTGGCGTTAGTAAAGTGCTTTGTCACCCATTATAGTTACATGAAGGAACCTAGGAGGTGGTCAGGGATCATAGAAACAGTGAAAACACTTACTGCTTACTATGTATCACACATGTTCTAAGTATGTCCCACATCTCACTCCATCAACAGTCCCAGGCCATCGTCAGCGGGGAGCCTGCAGCTCCCAGGGAGAAGTAACCTGCCCAGGGACCAGGGTGGCTGCACCCCTGACCCCCATTCCGGCCTCGGGAGGGAGGAGGGTGCCCTCTGGCCGGGGCCCCACCATGTGCGGCTCCCAAACTACCCAGCGCAGCGCCGGGCACACACCAGGAGCTGGAAAACCAAGCTGATGAAGGGGAACCTCACAACGCCCCTGCGCGGGAGAAATGAGCCCCCCCGTTCCACAAATAAAGGAATGAGACTGCGGGAGGGGGGGATGGGGATCTGAACTCTGGGCCAAAGTCAGCGAGCCATCAGCCTCTGGCCTGGCAGGACCAAGCCCTGTCCCTGCCCCTTTCCTCGAATGTAGGGCTCCCCCACACCCACCCCGGCCCCGAGGGCCGCGCCAGGGGGAGACGAACCCAGAAACCAGCAGGGAACGTGCTCTATGAGGTGGGAGGCGACTGTCACGTAAGGCTGTTCGCACGGGGTCCCTCTGGGAGGGCGGCGAGGTCCGGCAGGTCCCAGTCCTCCGCCGGCCGGGGGGAGGGGGCGGGCCGTCCGGGGTGGGGGACCCAAGAGGACGCTCGGCGAACCCGGCCCCGACCCCCCCGCACTCACCCGCGGGCCGCGCTACGACTCCTCGGGACTCGCCTCTCGCCCGGTTCCTCTCCCCGGGTCACCCAGCAACATGGCCCCTTCACTTCCGGGACACGACCTTGTGCGCGGGGCGGAGGGGTGGGACTCAGGGAGGACGGCGGCGGCTGGGGGCGGGAGGACTTCCGGTCTCCTCGCCTTTAGGGGCGGGGCCTGAGCTGCGCGAGTCACGCCCCCTGGGTCGGACCTGGTCCGCAGCCCTGAGGCCACGCCTCCTTCGTGACGTCATCTAGGGACCCGGAGATGTCGTGTTGCCGGGCGCGCTGACCTGGAATAAGGAAATTTCCAGCCGAAACCGGTTTGGCTCAGTGACTAGAGCGTCGGCTTGCAGACTGGAGGATCCCGGGTTCGATTCCGGTCATGGGCCATGCCCCCGCCTGAAGTCTTTTCCAGCCTCTTCCTGCCCCTCATCCACACACTTGGGTGCCTCCTTGGGGCCCACGGAAATGTCTGCACAGTGAGGACTCTTGAGCGGGTCCACGACAAAACCGGCCAGGCACTGCTTCCCAATTTATCCCCGGGCTTCGCTGTCTCCCAGCAGCTCTGAGGGCAGGAGCCATGCCTTCTGGAACCTGTGACCCTCTCCCCCAGTGCCTCCGGGGTGCCCAGCTCGGAGGGAAGTCAAGCAACGCTCCCAGTTCCACGCCACCATTTAGCTCAGTGCCCTCTGGCTCATTTCCTAATCTCTCCCCACCTGGGACTGTTGAGGATTAAAATCCTCAGCCAGTTTGGCTCAGTGGATAGAGCGTCGGCCCTTGCCCCAAAAGGTTGTGGGTTCGATTCCCTTGAGTATCTGGGTTGCAGGTTGACTCCTGGCCCAGTCGGGGTGCGTGGAGGAGGCAGCCAATCTATGTGTCTTTCTCACATCAATATTTCTCTCTCGCACCCTGACTGGTTTGGTTCAGTGGACAGAGCATCGGCCTGCAGACTGAAGGGGCCCAGCTTCAATTCCAGTCAAGGGCATGTACCTTGGTTGCGGGCACATCCCCAGGAGGAGGTGTGCAGGAGGCAGCTGACGGATGTTTCTCACTCATTGATGTTTCTGACTCTCTGTCCCTCTCCCTTCCTCTCTGTAAAAAAGTCAATAAAAATATATTTTTTAAATTTCTCTCTTTCCCTCCCCATCCCTCCCTTCTACTCTAAAAATCAGTGGACGCCGAAACCGGTTTGGCTCAGTAGATAGAGTGTCGGCCTGTGGATTGAGAGGTCCCAGGTTCGATTCCGATCAAGGTCATGTACCTTGGTTGGGGGCACATCCCCAGTGGGAGCTGTGCAGGAGGCAACTGATCGATGTTTCTCTCTATGAACGAAAGGTGCCACATGCTAACCTCACAAGCTCAGGGGAGGCCTGCGTGGCAGTCTTGCAAACCCAGAGACATAAAATAACCACAGAAGATGGTTTGAAAATTAAATATCTAACTACAAACAGGTTATAATAGGTAGTCATGTCCTAGGCCGATATTTTCCCTGACAAAGATCAACTTCGATCTTTCCTGAGCCCTTTGGCTAGTTTGTCTTTAAGATAACATATCTGTGAGATATCTGGTTAACTTGTAACTTCCCTTTTTCTGGAGCCCCTGGGGCATAAAAAATGTGGTGGGCACCAGCACAGATGCCTCAAATTCCTTCTTTATCATGTTAATTGCTCCTGCACTCACCTTAGTACTTGTCCATCATTTTACTTTCTATCCAATGCCAGGGATTTCCCACCGCTTTGCTTTATCCCGCCTCCTTAATCCACCACCAAATGAATTTCATGTAACCCACCGATGTCCCTCCTTTGATTGCAATGTATAAATATAGAAATGTAACCTGCCATTCTTCGGAGCATTATCTCAATCCATTGAGGTTCTGCTTTCCGGCATATGTTGACAGTTTGGCTCAAATAAACTCAACAATTCTTTACAGGTTTCAATGTTTTTTTTTTCATTAATATCTCTCATTGATGTTTCTGGCTTTCTACCCCTCTTCCTTCCTTTCTGTAAAAAAAAAAAAAAATCAATAAAATATATATTTTTTTAAAATAAAAATTAAAAAATCAGCGGAAAACATATCCTGGGTGAGGGTTAATAACAACAAAAAAAAAGGTACCTAGCACTTAAGGAGTGGTAGCTCCTCCATTCACAGATACAAGAAATCATCCTTGCCGAAACCGGTTTGGATCAGTGGATAGAGCGTCGGCCTGAGGACTGAAAGGGCCCAGGTTCGATTCTGGTCAAGGGCATGTACCTTGGTTGTGGGCACATCCCCAGTAGGAGGTGTGTGGGGGGCAGCTGATCGATAATTCTCTCTCGTCAATTTTTCTAACTCTCTATCCCTTTCTCTTCCTCTCTGTAAAAAAAAAAAATCAATAAAATATATTTTTAAAAATAAAATAAAATAAAAAAAGAAATCGTCATTGAGGGCCTCTGATGTGCAGCCACTGTCACAGGCCTTGCAGAGAACAGAGCTCAAAACCGGGTTTCCTGGTTGCTCAGTCTCCAAACACCTCCAGGATCTGACGCTGCCTTCGGGGCGGCCCCCTCCCTGGGGGAGCCCTGGCTGACGTTATAGATGAGAAAACGGAGGCCCAGAGGTCCGGCACTTTCTCCAGGGCGAGAAGCTCTCGGTGGAACCCAAGTCCTTCTGACTCCGAAACGGGCTCTTTCCACTCCCCCGGGCTGCCCTACTTTGCTCTTTAAACAAATGGTTTTGTGACCCAGATAAATCTAAACGGTGACATTTCCAGCTGGAAGACCTTTCATATCCCTCCTGACCCTGCTGTTCTATAGAATAATATTTTAGGAGAGGGGGGGGTCTCCTGGGTGAGGGGGGGTGCGGGGGGGGGGGGTCCAGGAGGGGAAGAGGTGCCCTTCAATCAGTTCCCGCAGCCTCTCCTTGTCTTCAGGGTTTTCTCTTCACGACTCACAAGGCTCCTCCTGCCTCCGGTGCCTCCAGGGCAGTGTGCTGAGGGGGGCGGAGGGGGAGGAGGGGGAGGAGACGGGCAGTGAGGCTGGTGTCTGGCACCCACGTGCACCTGCGGTGGCTTGTAGACGGGAGACCCCAGCCAGGGGCACTGACCCCAGCCTCAGGGCTCTGCCGGGTCTCAGGGGACCAGGGCCTTCTGGGATGGCTCTGAGGGATCCTGCAGCTGTGTGAGACCCCTGGTGTCCCATCTGAATGATGACGACAGCTCCTCATGGGATCATGAGGGAGAGAGGGAAGCACTTATCCCACCAAACAGTCGCTCACGGGGAGTAGGCCTTTCATTGTGGAATAAGTTCATTAACATTTTCCTGGGGTTTGGGAGAGAGGGCCATTTCCCCGGAGCCAGGCCAGTCTAGTCTCAGTGGGAAGGGGCGGTGATGGACAGGGGACAGTGACTTACGCTGAGCTTGCCTTGGTTTCCTCCTCCGTGAAGGGGACAGGCATGGACAAA